AGGAGAGGGATAGAGATAGATAGATAGAGGAAGAGAGGGGGGAGGGAGAGGAAGATGGGAAAGAGACAGGCATTCAGAGACAGAGACAGACAGATATAAACACAGACAGTAGGAATGAGTCAGAAATAACCACAACTCTTGAGTTTCAGTAAATATCATCTTAAAAGAAAAGGTCTCTCAGCTTTTACATTATTTGAAATAACTTTTTATTTTTTTTGTTTTTCATTTGTGTTAATGAACCCTCGTTTTCCTTAACTATATTCTGTCTATAAAACTAACATACACTCCTAGAGCATCAGAAAACATATTTAATTTTGCAGAATGAAGAGACTTTCAAAACTATGTTTGCAAATAAAACCAATTCAATTATTTAAATGTGTTGCCATCTGTATCATGGAAATGAAATAGGTTGAATCTAAGGCCAGGTTTATAACTTGGATTCTTGTCAAATCTGTTTCTAGAGTTCTGACTCGCAATGTGGAATGGTATATAGAATATAGAGAAATAGAGTTTGTACAATGATCCTTCCCTTCCCTGTTCTTGAAACTCTTGGGGGAGAAAAACATAAATCACAGAAACACAATAACTGTGTTTCTGGCTATTAGTGAAAATTCACTATGATTTAAGTGTTTTTTTAATGTAGATTTAATGCCTGACATAAGAGGGATCACTTTTTGTAAATAGAAGGTTTTTTCTTTTTTGTTTCTGTTTGTTTTTTTTTTCCTTTTTTTTTTAGACAGGATTTCTCTGTGTAGTCTTGGTTTTCCTATAACCTACACTATAGACGAGGCTCGCCTTGAATTCAGAGACACTCCCACTCCACTGCCTCCTGAGTGCTGGGGTCAAGGCTTGTGTCAGCATTAGTCCATGGTTCTCTAGTTTTTAATTTTAACTAGAGGATAAGGATAAACTGCATGGAACTAAATAATCAGACTGAGTTATACAATTTCAGGCAGCAGAAACTGATCTCTGATTTTGGAGAACTACCTGGGAATACTTTAGTCTCCACTCCTGATGTTTTGAGAGCTACTGAGGTGGCTTTCTCCTAAATAAGCTGTCCAAATTATGTCCTGACTTCAAGTCAATATTGTCATTAAGATCCACAGCAAAGGTTATATATAGGGTTGCCGTCTAGCCTGAGATCTAACTCATGAGAAGGGATTAGTTTTCCTGTATTTTTGTTCTTACTAAGCTTGTTTCTGGCATTGATCAACAGTAGGGAGACTTTGAGAGACTGTCAAGGCCATAACCAAATTACTTACACGGAGTTTCTATCAAAAAACAAAAACAAAATACAAAAAAATGACTGATTTTGTCTCTCTTTTTTTTATTTATTAGTAGACATTAAATTATAAGCACACATCATGATGGCTTTATTCTGGTGTATTTTTTTAGTCTCTTATCAAAACAAACCACTCATCCAACAAGGTAGTTTTAAGAACAAGGTTGAAGTACATCTTAACTATATATAACTGACTCCATTTATTTTTAAAGCCTTTTAAACTCCCTGCAGTTATTTTGAGAAAAATGTGGAGGATAACCCACTTTTAAGTTTACTTGGATGTTAGCCAGAGAACCCAAGTCTTGTCCCATAGCCCATTTCTTTTCAAAGGGTCTGACTAGAAATGGCAATTTATATAAACTTAAAGAATTAAGACATTTCAGGCTACAGGAAGCACCCAAATCTAACACAGCCTGAAGTGAAATCCCTATACAATAATTTTGTTCTATTTATTAAAAATGAAGTAAGTCAAGCTCACACTCATGGCATGGCTTATCCATATAAACGGAAAGCAAGAGGCAATCTCATTCTCAATTCCCTACTACACTCACTGAGAGAGAGAACACATCATTCAGTTGTTGGCTTTCAGGTCAATATTTGCTTATAAATATAAAAATATTCTCCTGGTTTTTATCAAATAGAAGCTAAAAACAAAGAAACAGAGTACATGCAGATTCTTGTTTGAAAGTTGTTGTCTGTCATGCTCATGCATTGGGATCCAATGTCTAAAATGAAATTCTATCTTCATTTGTTTACTAGTCATGTGTTTAAGTTCTTTTCCTTAATTATTTGACTACCTTCGATCAGAAAAGTATAGCGATGTGTTATACAACTTTTTCAATGCTGGTTTATTATTCTTAAAAGAGAAGAAATTTGGTCTTATTTATGAATTTAATGTTTCACTTTCTTTATCTTTCAAAGTTAAAGCTTCAGTGGAAGATAAAGTCTCATTATTAGCATGTAAAAGAAGCATACTGCCTTGCATTTTACTGCTGTAATTTTGCTATCCCATGCATAATTTTTGGGTTCTTCATGTCAGCTAGGAAAATTTTGAAATCCAGTACCTTGATCACAGTAGAAACATTTAAATTTAGAGAAGGATCATCGGAGCTTTGTCTAATTAACCTATCACTGTTTTTCCATGGTGTAAAAATATTTTATTATTATTAAAGATTTTCATATATTACAGTTTGATACTATGTATTCCTCTCCCCCACATCATCAGAGATCCACCCCTTTTTAAACATATCTAACTTTGTGTTATCAGTTTTCCTTAAACTTATCAAGTCTATAGTGTGTTTTCCATAAAATGTTGGAACCAACCATTTTCAGAATGGATTTAAGTCCTGTTATGTAATAGGAACAAACATCTACTAACCCAAAACTGGAATGGGTGACAGTTTAAAGTACCTTATTCCAGTGTGATAACACAATGAGTTTTACTGTGCTTACCAATGGAAATATGTTTAAAGGGTTATTGATGGGAACATAAGTGACTCAAAGACAAATACATCACTAAAAGCTCACCCTAGCATTGGCGACAGCAATGAGAGTTGAAGGGTTTACTTTCCAGATGAGATGACTCAGTTGGAATCAAAGCCTTGTTCAACCCTCTGATATCTGATACACTTTTAATATCAAGAAGCAAGTACTGATAGAATTATATACCTCAAATTATCACTATGGGCGTATTTACTTTATCATGGAGGAATAAATAAAATTTGTGAATATTTGGCATTGTTTCAATCAGTGTATCAAGTGTAATAAATAAAAATAATATAAAATACAATAAATTCTAGATATAACAATTATATTATTAACACTGGCTTTGGAATGGGTGAGGGGAGTTTGCTCTGAGACATTTAGATTTAAACAAAGTTCGGGTATATTGACAGATAATTGACAAACAGTGAAGTATATCATTTCCAATGCACTGTATCCTGGATTTTGAATTCAAGCTGACTTTTAATTTTATTTTGTAGATGAAATGTTAGAATAATGCTGTGTGCCATTCTCAGCTTCTGAGAAAGACTCTCTCTCCAGGATCTGCTGTTGCTCAGGATGAAACTATGATGATTCTAAGTCAGAATGAAAGTTATCAGGAAGTGTCCCATGCAGGTGAGTGTAATTCTTGTTGGAAATCCAAGTTCTGGGGCTTTCCTGAAAGTCTCACTATCAGTACCCATTCCACTCAGCTCCACCCTTTGTCCTGTTTCTATTTGTTTCTCTTCATACTTGAGCTCATTTGCTACCTGGATGGATCCAAGTCACAGGGAACATCCTGCCTCTACACTGAAGGTATGTGTGTTTTTCCGTTCTTAGATGTTTCTCTGACATCTCCCAAACCAGCCTGTTACCAACATGTTATCTACATGGATGGATCTTTCCATGCAAATGATGAAAAATTCTGAGTCTTCAAATTGTTTATCTGTGTGTGTGTGTGTGTGTGTGTGTGTGTGTGTGTGAGAGAGAGAGAGAGAGAGAGAGAGAGAGAGAGAGAGAGAGCAGTATTCCTTCAGGTAGAGAATGTCCTAATAGTTAAAACCACTAAATCACTTCATGTTGTTCACTACCACCTACACTATATTTGGTAACCATTGCTAAATTTAGTTCATTAAGCACTGTATTGCTCTTTAGATGCTGAATTATCTGTCTATCAAATTACTCATTCTTCATCTTCCCAGCGTGTATGTATGACATCTGTCATCTGCTTTGGGGACAATCACTTACACTTACATTGCAGGTACTAGAGGCAGTTGATTAGAGTTGGATAGTCTAATGGTGCAAGTTGCAAATGGAAGAGTCTGTTATCCCTTCAAAGGAGAGGCCACAAATAAAGAGGTGTCTTCCTTTGTGGATTAGCTAATCCTCATTCTTGACTGGTTACAGCACAAGAAGAGTTTTCCATCAAAAATACAAGGATAGCCAAGACTTATTACATCAGGTAACATGTAAAGCATATAAAAAGCATGAAATGACCAACTTGTAGAATACTAAGCATGATCAATATGTACAAGAAATATTGACCAATGAGGATACATTATAGAAAAAATTTAAAAAGATTTTTCAATCTCAATAAATATGTACTTATGTGTGAACATTGTACATAGGTATTTATGGATGTAAGATTACAAGGCACTATTATTTTTACTACTTAATATTAGAAGAATAAATCCCCTCTTGACATTGTGAAACATCATAACATGAGAGTTAAGGACCTCATATGACAAGGTCTGAAATTTGCAGAATTATAAAGCCTTTTAGCTAAGAAAGTATATATCTGTTAATTTTGTTGTTTATTTTATATATTTGAGAATTTCTAAAAGTGTCTTGCACAGGACACAATCATAACAAAATACATACATTGAAGCAAATATAGATAAGTCATGAAAATAATGTGTTTTCATTTTCACACAAGCATGTGCATTTCCAACCTTTTCTTTATCATTGTCTAGAAAATACAACAGGAGCTGTGTGTGAACAAAGAAGTTCTGGTCTGGCATTCCTGAGCTGTGTGAAGATACACATTTTTATGGAAAAAGATTCAGACTCCATATCTATCAAACCTGTATGTTTGCTCCTGTGTTAGTGTGTGTGGCAGAGTTAAGAAAAATCATGTTATGGGAATCAACTCAGAAATTGCCAAAAATATCACCTTAAACAACAATTTAAAAAATTATATTTCAAATGAATATGAGCAAACCTTTATGACAATAAAATGCAGCATCTTTTGAAGACAATATTCAATATTTCTCACAGTACACTTTTAATCCTTTTATTCATAGAATTAGTAATTGGAGTTATAGGAAATGGGTTCATGGCCCTGGTATACTGCATGGAATGGGTTAAGAGGAAGAGAATGTCATTAGTTAATCAAATCCTCACTGCTTTGGCAATCTCCAGAATTTTTTATATCTGTTTCTTGTTTATAAGTTTAGTCATCTCCTTCACATATCCTGATTTAACTAGGACTTCAATGATGATACATGTCATTAATAATGTTTGGGTTATAGTCAACCATTTCTGCATCTGGCTTGTTACATGCCTCAGTGTCCTTTATTTTCTCAAGATATCCAATTTTTCTAACTCTCTTTTTCTTTATCTAAAATGGAGAGTTGAAAAAGTAGTTTCATTTAAACTACTGGTATCGACAGTCCTCCTGATTTTAAGTATTTTACTAATTAACTTGGAAATTAATAAATGCATAAATGAATACCAAAGAAACATATCTTGCAGCTATCATTCTTATTACCAAGCAAATTGTCAAAGGCATGTGATAAGCCTGCACATTATTTTCTTGTTTGTCCCATTTATTTTGTCCCTGTCAACTTTTCTCCTGCTCATCATCTCCCTATGGACACATTACAAGAAGATGCAGCAGCATGTTCATGGAAGCAGAGATGCCAGAACAATGGCCCACTTTAAAGCCTTGCAAACCATGATTGCCTTTCTCCTGCTATACTCCGTTTTTATCCTGTCTCTGTTATTACAAATTTGGAAATATGAATTACTGAAGAAAAATATTTTCATTGTATTTTGTCAGGTTGTATATACAGCTTTTCCTTCATTCCATTCATATATTCTGATTCTAGGTGACATGAAGCTGAGACAGGCCTGTCTCTCTATATTGCGGTGGGTGAAATTCAGGCCAATTATATAGAAATTTTAGGTCTCTAAAACACTATACGTTATGTTGTATATTCTAGACAAAGATTAACCAATACAAATATATTTTGTATTTTTAATTTTTACATTTTAAATATCCTTTGATTTTATTGTATGAATTTGATTTCTGTTTGTAATTATCACTGATTAAAGCTACTACTAATTTAGCTAGTTATGTACAAGGCTATTTCTTAATGTATACATCAAAAAGGACCTCATTGTTACCCACTAAAACATAAATAAATCAACATTTTATAAATTTTCTATCAACCATCAATTACAGAGATTTTTGACTCAGGAACTATACTTCGTGTGTTTTAATATCCATTAAAAAATTGTGATAAAAGCAAGTAATTGAAACCATGTAATATGAAATGTATGAATAAAACTTTATAGAAGAAATGTGTAGGATGATATAAATTGTAAGCAATGGGAACAAAGGTAGTTTATTAAATACAGATCTCAATTTAGAATTATTTTTGTCGCTTCTTTGGAGCCATGAGGCTCCTGTGTTAGTTATGTAAACTTTTTATTAGTTTCATTACCAACCATTCTGAAATACTTTCATGATTATTAAGACAATGTAATTTACATTTGCAGGTCCAATGTATGTTAATTTTAATGCATAATTATAAGAAATTAAAGTTTCAGATAGTTTAAAATATTAATTTGAAATATTATTTTTGATTTATTTACTATTTTGGATCCATAACAGAATGTGTAATATCTTATTGATTGCCCACATACAATTAAAAGCAGGTCTTCTTATATGTACTTGTTTTCAATATTTAATGTACATTAAAATTTAAAATCCTATAAAATTAAATTAATTAATAGAATAATGTCAAATAGTTCTACAACATGATACCTATACTGTAGATCTTGATGAGATGCCTAGTGTTTTATCCAGTTAAATGTTCAGTATGATATGATTCTGAGTTTTACTACATATGAATAATTCTTTGTTCAGTCATAATTTTATTATTAAAAATTTCTGCATCAAATTTATAATATAATTTTCCATACTCCCAGAAAACATTTACTCATTTATTGAAAAATATTTATACTTAATACCTATTCATTGCACCATTTAAACATATTTTAATGAGAAACATAACCTCTGAAAAAAAGAAATTTAACAACTCCTACAAGCAGTTCCAAGGAGTGTTACATTCTTCTATTTGTCATGTTTTCTTTTGTAATATTTTGTATTAATATTCTATAATTTTAAGGCTTCTTGTCCTAGTTTACAACTTATGGAATAATATTATTCTCAGACAAAAATACAAAATATGCAAATATAATTGTGTTTGGTCAAGCAAACCAAACAAAAATTTTGAAATGTATTCAACTGCCAGGTGTGGTTGCACATGCCTGTATCTCAACTCTTGAAAGGCAGAGATAATGGAAAACTAGAATTCAAGGCCAACATAGCTGGACAGTGACCTACACACTTAAGGCTACTTAGAGTCAACATAAACCTAAACAATAATTAATATATAACAGTGATTATTTCTGTGTGATATTAATTCTTCAATTAATGTCTGTATCCTTATTTAAGACTTCAGATTAATGTTAAACACTAAATGAAACTAATGACAATATCAAGGTGAGATGGAATGTTAAAATATAATTGATGATTAATTTATTGAGCTATAAGAGTCTATATGGTTTATATAATCATTATTATAAAGTGACTTATTTCTTGACACTTGTGAACATACTGGCCTGAGGGTTTTACAGAGTTCAGAATCAGAATCTCTATTCTCTGATAAATTAACTTCTTGGCTTTCTAATATATGATAAAAAATCTACACATACTGTCACGTGTAGAGATTTTTTATGTAGAGAATGTTTTCATTTCATCTGGAAATTATAGGTAGTAACTCTAGTGGAGATTGTTCTGTTAGAGTAAACTGGAATTTACTACAAATTACATAGAATACATATTTTTTACATATATTTTGCTCTTTCCTCTTTATCATATTTAGTTTTTTATATATCATAGATTGGTGGTGATTATGTTTATACTCTAGTCTATAAAATAAAAATTATAAAGGAATACTAATTATGAAATTTAGGGAAGAAATGTAATTGTCAAGTAATAATAAATTTACATAAAGATGTAATTATGAAGGTAAACAAACTTTTGCACTTCCTAATTTGATAGTTTCACAGGTCACACAAAAGTAGATAGTGTGTAATACATCTACCATGAAAATGGTTTTGCACAATTGTTTGTTATTACCAAACAACATTTATTGAAGGATGTACTGTCATATATTCCAGGTAAAACACTCAGCCCAGATAAAGCACTAATGACAAACCAACGAATGATTTTATTCATGTCCAGCTTATTGAGCCATTGAGTTTATTTGAGTTTCTTATGGAAGGATAGGTATGGAGTTACTTACTTACAGGCATATGGGCTTCTCAAGATAGCTGCATCTATCCAAGCAACAGTCAGCATTTGGGAAGTGAGATAGCACAAAAAAGCCTTCTCTCCCTGGTGGTTGTTTTTTCTTAAATAATTTTGGATAAAAGACTTGTGCCTTGTACATTCTAGGAGGATTACTAACCTAGTAAATTCTTACTCTCCAGGTATTATGAGTTTCTCTCATTCCTCTCAGGGGACGGGGGACTTCAGTCTAAAAGAGACAGCAAGACAATATGTCTGCCAATTTGCCACAGGATTTACTCAGGTTTTCTTTCACTTGGCTCAACAGACTAAATAAAATTAGTTGCTCATGTAATTCCACATCATTCCACTCAAACATAGTTTATAAAATGAGCATGAGGGCTGATAAAAGAGACAGTATGATGTCAAGAGTTATAGTATGACAAGCTAATACTAGCAGATGATCTTCCTGAGATGATCTGCTTCAGGTTATTATATAATCTGTGACAAATTCATTCTTCTTAGACAAGGCCATAAGAGAATTCATTTTAGAAAATATTCCTGCTAGTAATATGCTTTTCCTACTATTATTAAATGTATATGACAATCACTAAGTAATAGCCCACCACTTTGGAAGAGATCTCTGCAGATCCATGAAGATGTACTGTCTTGTAGTGAAGCTATATAGACAAAGAGATGACTTAAGTCTAAATGATAATCCTATAAGAATTCCTAAAATTATATCAGTGATTATTAAGCTCTTTTATAGTGGCACTGCTACTAGGTCCTTTTCTGATAGTCAAAACTACAATGAGAACTCTGCCAGTCTCCCAAGTGTAGCCAGTTAATTGCTCTCAGTTAGTAACCAGACTTTCTCCTACTCAGAGCACATTCCAAGAGGTTGTAAAACACTTCACCAAAGTTCATAAAAATGGAACTAAGGATTTATTATAGGTGCTAGGACAGAAGATAAAATATTGACTGGAATTTTCTATATAAAACTTCACTAATAACTTAGTTATGGTATTTAACCTTCAGTGAACCTGTGGAGCAGTGACAGATGATGGATGTTTAGTCAGATAATTACTCATAATGCATATGTATGTGAACACGCTCTGTTGTAAACTTTAATTTATGATTTATGATTTGATTTTTTGTGTGAACCTATGAACTGTTTAACATGTAGTCATGTGTTCTGAAAAATGTATAAATACTGAAGACAAAGAGATGAGAAGTAAAAAAAGAAATTTTTTGCCTTTTCCTAATTAGAGAAGAACTTTTTATCTTTCCCTACTTAGAAGAATTTTTCCCTTTTACCCTTTAGGATATTACCGCTTTTCCCTTTAGATTGCTTTCATAGGAATCTTTTTAAAACTTAGTAATAAACACCATAATCTCTTCTCTAAGTGTCCCTTTTTCTTCCTGAGACTTTTGACTATAAGCTCAAAGTTAAAGCTGTGCAGCCCCTGCTGAGATAGAACAAAGGTCACAATGCTTAATCAATCTTCTGCTGTTAGGCTACAGGTATTAATTGCCTAAACCAGCAGCCTTTTACCCTCAGAAAGAGCCAGAAAAATTTTAGGCTTTTTTTTTTTTTTTTAGAAATTATCAGGAGTTAAGTACAGTAAGAGAATTAAAATGTCCTGAAACCCTCAGACTTTAAGCCATCACCAGAGTCCTACTCCATGCCTTCTATCTTATTCAGGCCAGGAGGCTCCCCACAGAATGACAGGATGGAGGAAGGAGAGAGAGAGAGAGACAGAGAGAGACACAGAGAGAGAGAGACAGAGTGAGAGACAGAAAGAGGGACAGAGACAGAGACAGACAGAGACAGAGAGACACAGAATGAATGAATCAGGAATACCCCAAACTGTCCACATTTAGTAAATATTATTTTAAAAGAAAAAAATTCCCTTAACTTTTAACATTGCAATTAAAAATTACTTGAAATGATAACTTTTTGTTCTCTTTGTTTTTTCCATGGTATATATGAACACTTGTTCTCCTTAATTATATTCTATCTATAATGCTAATACCCACTCCCAAAGTATCAGAGTATACAATGAATTTTGAAGAATGAAGAGTCTTTTAAAACTAGACTTTCAAATAATTACCACTTCAATTATTTAAATCTGCTGAAATATCTTCTCTGCATCATGGACCTAAAATGAAGTAAAAATCTAAGGCCAGGATGGAGGACTTGAATTCTTCTCAAATCTGTCTCTAGAACTATGATTTACAATACTGAAGTAAAATAAATAATGTAGAGAAATAGAAGTAATTCAAAGATGCTTCTCTTTCTCAGCTATTGGAGCTCTCAGAAGAGGAAAACTTAATTCAAAAAACAGTTAGTACAAAACTAGTATGTTTTGAATACCGATTTGCAATGTAAATATAGTGGATACTTAACATAAGAGAGTTCATTCCCTTCTTATATAAGAAGTAAGTTTTTATATTATTGTTGTCGTTGTACTTGTTTTTGTTGTTATTTTGAGGGTTTCTCTGTATCCCCTTGGCTTTCCTAGAAGTCACTCTATACAGCAGCTGGAGTTAAAGGTCTGTGCCACCACTGCTCTGCGGTTCTACTGTTGTTTTTGTTGTTGTTGTT